CCCAAATCCAGTTTTCAGGGGGTGCCAGTACAACAGTTTTCTTTAGTTGGAGTTGTGAGTGCAACACTTCAACACCAGCACTACCACGACCTGCTGCCACCACTCAGGTCTCAATTTGTTTCAGAAAGTATTTATTCTAAGTAAATACTGAGTCCATGGCAAGTCTGAAGCTAAAAAGATCAACTCTGATTTGACTGCCTAGGAAGAGTTCCTGATCTCTTCCATCCAGTGCTAAGAACACACTGCATAGTGTGTAAATCTAGGAGAAGTCATCAAATTGAGGTAACTGAGGGCTTGTCTACACTAAATGGTGGATCAATGCTGCAGGTACCAGACAGCCTACAGTTGATTTATTGTGTCTGCGTAGGTCGATAAGTTGACCTCCAAGCTCTGTCAATTCCAGTGCTCCACTAGGACAGGAAAAGTAGCTGGAGTCACAAGAGAGCAGCTACCACCACAGACTTTACCATGTGGAAGACATCTCTGTAAGTGCATCAACTTCAGCTACACTGTTTGCATAGCTAAAGTCACATGTGGTTACATGAACTGGGGTGGGGGGAGGAGTCTGTAACGTAGACTAGGCCTGAATGGGAAGTGTGGGTTTCCTCTGCAATCTTTCTAGAAAAAGTCTTATTTAGCGGTGTCTTCCTTCAAATTAGTTGTCTGGAATCTTAACTAACCTTCAGTCCTTTAACAAACAAATTATACTCACTCTTCAGTATCACTCAAGTGATCATTAAATTATCCTAAAGTTTTTAGAACAAAAAAAGACAAAAAGCCAGATTTGCAAAACACCAAATGTATATTTACATCCACATAACACGCTCAACTAAAATGAAATACATTATAAATTAAATGAATAATGTACGTCTACTGCTTGACAACATAGGGTTTCAACAATTTTTTAAAAATCAGACAAAAAAATGGAATGAAATAAATATAACAGAACAAAATCAACAATTTGTACCTCTATACATGCACTGTTCTCTCCAAAAGACACAAAAACCAGTAGTATCCCAATAGTTAATACTGATGGGCAAAATTGTACTTTGAAGTACAGGGCTGTAACTCCATTAAACAGGAAAAATCGTTGTGTACATTGTTCTCTAATCCATTCCCAAGAGATCTGGGAAGAGGCCAAAAAATAAAACTTGAAACAAGTGTACCAACATGAGGAGAGATTCTTTTAAAGTCAGATTTAGTAATTCAGATTTTTTTTTCTTAATGCAGCCTTGCGGAATTTTTAATTACATACCCCCTTAAGATGCATAAAGACAATTACAGCATGCATTCTATAAGACTCATTGAAAGATCAGACAAAAAATAGATTAGCCATCTTCCAAGTGAATTCATCTTCAAAAAAAGCTATAAAAGTGCAAAACTAGGAAAACAATCTAGATTATGTACATATGGCTCAGCTTATGAACAGGAAAAAAGTAAATAGTGTACAATTTCCTGATACAAAGCACTTCATTACATTGCCAGTTTACAGAGACATTACAATTAGGTTCCATTTAAATTACAGGAACTAAGCCATACAACTAGAATGTCAAGTTGCATAATGAAAACAAGAATTTCTAGGTTTTGTTATTTTACATTTGTTAAGTGAGGGACAAAGAGCAAAATTAACAGTCTAATTATTTCTTTTAGGCTTAAAATATACAGAAGTCAAAACCAGGTACAAAAGAAACAAGTGTCAACTACAGGCTTAATGTAGAAATAAAATTAAAAATATGCAACAGCTCTACTAGTTGGGATCTGGCCATTCTCCCTTTACAAAATTAATTGCATGTGCATTAGAAATACTCTTGCTGTCTTCATAAAAATACAAGGAACAAAATTCTCCCATAGCATACTCTTATACTTGTGATACTCCAGTTTGTAATTAAGATGCTAAAAAGACAAAGAAGCTTCTGTGCCTTATCAAGCAGTCTGAACCATGGTAAGTAAGATTTAAAAAAAAAAAAAAAAAAAACTTTGTAGTTCCCTGTGTTCAGATTGTAAATCTGTTCTATATTGATGTTATTTTTGAGTTTGGACAAAAATGCAAAAATAGATACATATTTATTTAGGAAAAATAGTATTATGTTTGGTAAAATCCTGTACACCTGAAATATTCAAATATTTCCTCTATATCCTGCAGTTATAGTTTAACTGTTGCTGACAGATCCTGCATAAGAAGGGACAAGAACTGCACTACTCTCTTGCTTTAAAGGTAACATGCTAGCAAAATCAATTCAAGGGAAGCAAAGTTTGTTTCCAACAAATTATGGTCCTAGATTAAGCAAGATTGAACAGCAAAGAGTTAGCACCTTAGCTAGGATGATCACAGTACTTCTGAACTGAACAAGTTAATATATAGTTTTTAAATATTTTTTCCAAATTAACAGTTATAGCAGAAAAACGCAATATGAGAAACTGCCACCTCTATGAAAGAGAAACAGTATTTAAACCAACACGCTTAGATATTTACAGAGTTTACCTGAGGTGCAAGGATTTATATACCATTTCAAACAAGATCTCTTTCAGCAGCGCTCAAGTACGTAAAAATATAATTCCTACCTAATATTTGGTCAATTGATTCTAAAGAAAAATATTATTCAACATTGAGATATACATTCTCCACACCTTTATAACCCAACTGTTCAGACTACAATTTTTATGGCTATTTAGTACAAATGTTAACAGAACCAATTATAAAAAACTGTAGTGTTTTATATACAGTACAATCACAGCTTAGTTCAGTAGCTTTCACCATTCATGTCTCTCAAGGGATGAACTGCAAGTAATAACTCCACAAAATATGCATTTGCATCCTCAGACCTAGAACAAACCAAAAATAGTTGTGCTATAAACTGTAACATTTAAATAATGCAGCTAAAGAAAGCTCTTTAATATTAAAATTTAATTTATATATACACACACACTTTAATAGGTATATTTAGATACCACACTTCATGTGAACACATTAATGTATCTATCTGGTAGATTAAAAATTAGCTTAAGACATTCAAACCATAAACTGAAATCCAAGCAAGAAAGAGATACATACAGATATATCCAAACTAGACTCGGGGATGGGGGGG